ATCCTAAATAGGACAAACCAGTGAAACTCCCCTTTTAGCCAGTGTAAAAAGTTTAATTACACATTTAATCTCTTAAATATCTCAATTTAAAAAAAAAAGACGTGCAATTTTAACGGTCTTTTACATGGTAAAAAAAAATGCTGCCGTAGCAAATGAAAGAAATCTGTCTGCATAACTTTTTGGGCATAAATTGTAAGAAATAAATGTTTAAAATGAATAAAATGTAGCTCATTGCCCAGACTGTGCTGTAATTATAAGGTTGTTCATTCACAGAACATTTCTTTTTATTTGTTTTTATCGTGGATCCATTGTAAAAAAAACAGAAATTTCTATGATTGTAAAAATGATCTGTAATCCTTTAACTGATTATCTATTACTTATTTACATTGGTGTAGTATAAATGGCCATGTGGGAGGTCTTCTTTAGTGGGAAAAGTTGCAAAATTTCTGAAAATATAGTCCAAAATGTATTACCCCCTTCTCAAAGCCATTCACTGGGTCAGATTTGAGTCTTTTCCGGGATGATTCTGGCCCTTGTGACATTTTGTTTGACACCCCTGATATATACTGTATGTAAACATTTGTCAAATCATAAGCAAAGTTTGTTTAAGTTACTTATTAATGAATTCATGAGCGACACAGAAAATGTAAGCTGTCAGTCTGACATCATTTGCAGACCACGCTCTGTTCATATTTTCACCATCTGTGTGTTCCCAGGCTGCAGCCCATCGGAGAGGCTCATATCCAGGGTGGGAGGGCAGGCTCGCTCCAAGACCCCCAACGCAGACATGGAGAGGAGTGCGTACGGGGCGGACTGCACCAGCACCCCCACCTACCTCAACAAGGCAACACCTACATAGTCCTTTGCAGAAACTGTTCATGGGTCATCAGTTGGATCCATTTTCCAGCGTCTGACAGACATTTTCTCCCTCTGCAGCCAATGATGTTGCGGGATTTTGGGGTGGAGCCTGATGATGGGGAAAACCTGAGGAGAATTGGACGCAGCCTGAGCGGCACAGTAGTGACCTCGCGCCGCAGCCGCCTGACTGCAACCCGCAGCTTTGTGAGTGTGACTACTTGGGCTCTGCTGCCTCCTTGCGGCTATGCTGTTAAACTGCACCTGCCTGATGTCTTGCGGTCACATTGCTTTTCCCTGTGCTCTTCTTCCCCCCTCCCTCCCCCCCGCTGTTTGTCTTGTTTCTTCCTTTTGTCCTGCTATTCTACTTGCAATCTGTCCTCCCGCTCTCTTCTTCTCTTCCTCTTCTGTCCTCTGTCTCTCTCAAAGGTGAAGCAGGCTGATGTCAGTGCCTCTCCTTGCTTACTTCCTCTCTTCTGAGTCCCTGTTGCTATTCCACCACTATCATCTCCTTCATCCTCCTCATCACCAACACCTTCTCATCACCACCTCCCTCCACTGCTTCACAGGTAAACACCGCGCTGGCTCATATGATGTTGCACCGTGTGTTTCGCCCGCATCAAGAGTGGATTTTTGGCTGGCTACTTTATGTGCCAGATAAGTCTGTTTTAGAGCAAAGTAAAAGTCTTCTCCTCATTTTTTTTTATTATTTTTCTCGTGAATATTCGCCTCCTGGCAAACCGGGCTCATCTGGCACAAAAGTAGGCTGCATATCCATATATCTAAAACCAGGGAATCCTCACTGATTTGTAAAAAATGTGAAGACCCAAAGGTGTTTTTGAAAGAAAATTGGCCTGCAAATCTGTCATGTGTCCAGTTCATCTAAAATTCACGGAAGGAAACTTGAAATTCTGAAAAGTAAACACTGATACCTTGATTTAGAGGTTAAAAAAAAGACACCTTCCCACTCTCTATAAGGAAAAAAGCTGAAAACAAGAGGGATGTCTTAAAAAGGCCCCCGAAGCAAAAACATTTCAGCCTGTTAGGTTTTCTGTTACGTCAGTATTACACACGACATATCTGCAGAAGTGTCGGCTCTGTTTGCATCATATTAGGGCTTTCTTTTTAAACTCAAATTGTGGTGAATAGTTTGACAGGCAGAAGTGTCGTTTCAGGTTTTTACACTTCAGCTTCACGGTGCAAAACTAACACCTCGCTGTGAGAGCTGAAGCTAATGCGCATCGATCCAAAGTATTTTTACAAGCTGCTGTACATGTCGCACACCAATGGTCTCTCTTAGCAGAAAAAAACATAAGAAGAAATGATCATTTCTAGTAATAAGTTAGCAGTGCATTCAAAATTCTCACTAAATCATGGCTTAAAACAATTGGTTTAAAAAAGTCAGCAATTGAGTAATCAGGTTTTCTTCAACTTCCTAATCTAAAAATATACATGCATTACATATTGGAATATATATGTAGTTTTTAACATACAATTTCTTTATGTCTTATGGTTGTATGTTATAGGGAAAGTTATGCATCTAAGCTGTTATCAGCTTATAATAAACAAGCAAGGGAAAAAAAGAATCAACACGCATGCACGTTGGTCCTTTTGATCTTTTCTGTTTTAAATTCAAGGTGAAATTATGCATAACCTGCCTCCCGGCACTATGCTTTCACTTGCCAAATGCTCTTGGCTGTCTCGCATTGCGCTTCATTCACATGTGCAGGTCTTTAGAGTGCCTCAGTTTTATGCATAAACAGTGCTATATGCTGTTTTCAGAAACCAGGATATGCTAGATACAAAAGATCCTAAATAAACCGTGCACTGTTTAGAATATGCATGTATACACAGTGAAGAATGACCAGTTTTTAAATGTTCCATATAAAAAGATTTAAATGTGGGATTTAACAGATTTAACCATTTAGATTATATGAAGCTGAGGGTGATGCACTGATTGGGAAATTCTGCATCCATACTCATGTTTAACATTTATAATTTAATCTTCTCATTTGGGCCAACAAACAAATAAATGCTGATTATAAAGAAGTAGCATGGCTGCTCTGAAATTTTAGCCTCTATCACCACAGTTTTTTTTTTAAATATTTATTGATCAACAGTCAAATATCTGTTAATGACATCTTAAAAAGAGGTCTAGATGTCACTGCATCCAGCATTGTTTGATGTAGATGTTCTGCTTTTGTATCGATGTACAAAAAGAAAAGATAGCGTAGTATTTTTAAGGTGTCTCACAGGGATTTCCCCTGGGATGCTGTACAGCTATAGTTTATCAGATTGTATGGGACAAGTTTAAGTAGAACTTGGGGAAATAATCCTTGAGATCTTTGAAAACTGTGTTTAAAGCATCAGTGTGTGACAGTTTGTGCCTTTTACACTCTGTAAATCCCATGATTGAAGATACATGTGTAAAATCCAAGCATGTGTGCATATTCCTGTGAATGACCACATCTGTCTTGGTTGACGTGCACCTTCTTACTAATCTGACCTTTTATCTTCATGTCCAGGAGCTGTCGGACAGTTCAGGGAGTTTCTGGCTGTGTCTGACGGGGGTCAAGCTTTCCTCAGACCATGGTCCTTCAGTGCTTCACTAATATCTTACCGCAACCCGTCCACGTGGGTCCACAACCGCTTCACCTTGACGGACCTGGAATCGGCTCAGGAGGATCGACTCAGCTCCTATCCCGTTCCTCCTCCTCCTCCTTCAAACGACATGCACACGCAAACACATGCACGCACACATGCACATCTGCACTGACGTAGAGCCTCCCTCAGCGCCTGCAGCACCCTGCTTTAGCCCTTTCTTGCCTTCCTCCCTTCCTCCTCCCCCTACTATTCTGTCTATGCAGTCACTCTGACCCCCAACTACAACCTCAACCTTTCCCCCTACTTTCCGGGACTGTTTCTCGTCTCCCCCTGGGGTTTTCAGAGGGTTTCCAGGTGAGCTTGCTGCTTTTAGCAGTCGCTCACCAGCCGCATCCAACTAGGACTAGAGCTCTCAGTAGACTCGCCCTCCAACCCACAGGACCTTTAGCTCAGGGGGGGACTCTAACCAAGTAGCCACGCCTCTTCCTCTCTCTTCACGGGCATTTCTTGTTGGACGCACACGTAGCTGAACTAGGTCTGTTTCAGATGGACAGCCATATTTTTTTCTCTTTTTGTTTTTGGGTTTGTTTTTCTTCCTGTGTGTGCGCACAGTTAATCTGCCGAGACTGAACTCTCTAATAACTAAGTCGTGTACAGAAAACTCACATATGAAACCTGTATGTTAATTAATAAGACCTTATGGAATGTTGATAATGATAATTAACAAATATTGATAAACTTAAAGTGATACTTCCTCATGTCTGCATTTCAAATAGGAGTGGAGTGCACTTCACAAGTGTCTAGCTGGAGTTTCTGCCCCCAAACCGCTCGCCGACCTAATGACAGCTCTCCCGTTTCTACCGGGAGCTTGAACAAGAAAAGCGCTTCCTTTTTTCTCTGCTTCTTTCCCTCTTCTTTTCTTTCTGCTCTTCTTTTCTTGCTCTCTTATATTCTCGCTTGCTTTCTTTGTTCCAAACAGGAAACAGTAGCACCAGAAATAGGCCAGCAGCGGAGGAAAGTCTAGAAGGAATGAGAGAATGTAGGTTAGGAAACCCCTTCTCTTAGGCTTTTAACAATGAAAACAGATGACTCAAGTGCACTTTGCAAGGTGACTCGGCAGAAGTGCACTTTCTGAAGGCTATTTGAACGCGGAGCAGCTGGAGAGAAGTCGATGCCGTTTGTTTTCACTCCAAGGCCTCAGGTGAACTTCAGTGACACTTATGAATTCACACTTTATTATTCCCCTCCCTCCTCCCACTGAAACTGGTTTTGAGACCTCAGATGTGTTCAGAAAAATGCTCATCTTCAACCTGAGACAGTGACATGTCTAATATGAACATGCTTTATACGATAGATATGTATTAGAGGTATATTTTCAGCCAGTGAGCTATCAGAGATGTCAACCATTCCTCAGTTGTATGAACAGTTATTACGACTTAATTCACTCTTCCCTTTATTGGGTAGCATTCTGACGTGTGTAGAGTACTTTTATTATATGCTTTATTCTGTTAAATATCGTATAAACTAACAAAGTCCTTATTAAACAAAAGGCCAATGTAATGTTCTTTAAGAATTCACTGATGTTGATTGAACGTTGTAACTAAACCAAAGGATGGCACCTAACTCAGAGAGTTAAAGTAAGAATTTATTTTTCCATTTAGGTTCAGATTTTGTGGTTGTATTTTTGTTTTTTTCTTTGTTTTTTTTTTTGTTTTTTTTTTTTTGTTTGTTGTTGTTTTTTTGGATGTGGGAGAATGTAGCCAATTGTAGCGCATGAGTCCGCTATGCAAATCAACCTTCCCTCACAGTCCTTTACTGGAGACAGTCAGGAGGCAGACACGCCCACCCCTCACGGGTGCTCTCATGGACTCTGGCAGAGACACGGAGAGGAGGAAGAGAAGATCTCATGTTTATTGCTGCTGGTGAACTTTGTTGTTCTGCATCTACTGCTATGTTTCAACCAATGGAATGCAAAAAGACAGCAACGAGGACGCAGAGAGCAAGAGGGAGAAAGAGCGAATGAATGTAAACTAAAGGATGAAAGTGTGTGTTTGCGTTAGAGGAGGGTGGGAAGCTAACTGACAAAGATGGTTATTTGTGGGTGTGTGTAGACTTTATGTGTCAGTTCTGGGGTGGTGTTGCTCGGGGAAAGAGGGAACCTGTATTTTTGCAATAAAGTTATTAACAATGCACTCCCAAAGGGGGCGTAACCACCGTAACATGTGTTTCATTATTTGTTTGTGGGGAGGAGAGCAAAAAGAACTTAACTTTCAAGAAAAAAGAAACCAACACCAGTCAGGTCTTAATCCAAATTAACAGGAAAACTAAATAAGCTCTTAAGCAGTGTTTTTCCATATATTTATATATAATACACTAATCTACAGCTAAAATATCCCTCAAATATAGAAAATTTAAGAATTTTTGGTCAGTGAAACTAATAGTAATGCGTAAAATTAGTGTTTCAGCTCATCAAACAAATTTAAATATTACACAAAGAAAACACAAAATGCAGTTTCTAATGAAGGTGTTTCTTATTAAGGGGGGAAAAATCCAAACTTAAATGACCCTGTGTGAAAAACTGATTGCCCTCTAAAACCTCAAATTAAGTTGGTTAGGATGTTCAGGAACAGCCCAGCAACCGCCAAGGGTCAAGTCTGTCATGAACTGGAAACTGCTGGAAATCCAGCATCACTGTCCTCAGTGAAGCAGGTGTTTCTGTACATCACTATGGACCGAGAGCATGCCAACCAAGAAAGACGTCCCAGCTACAAATTCTATACCTTCAAGCTTGATTTCCAGCTGCCCACATGGACAAACCAAATAAAAAAAGACATATCTATGGAGGATTTAAGGTTAGACAAGCATGGTGGTAGCGTGCTCTGGGACTTTTTTTTGCTATCAGTAATCTTGATACATTCCACAAAGTGGATGGAATAATGAAGAAGGAGGACGATCTCCAAATTCTTCAGCTTTACCGCAAATTAACAGCTAGATGCTTAAAACTTAGACATAATTAGTTGTTCCAACAGGACAGTGATCCAAAACTGGTTTTCAAATCCATCAAGCAGGATGACATTACACTTCTGGAATGGCCTTACCATAGTGCTGATTCTCAACCCTACTTAAAATTTATGGTCTGTGCTTAAAAGCGGAGTCTTTGCCAAGAAACCAACCAGTTTGAATTAACTCTACCAGCTCTACCAAGAAGAGTGGTCAAATATTCAGCTGTAATTATGCCAGAAGTTTATTGATGGATGGATTTAATCACTTAAATATTCAAAAACAAAATAAAAAATATTCTGTACATTCTAATACAAATTTTTTTTTAAATTTATTCAGGGATCGTTTATATCGTTTAGGGATCAGTAACTGACCAGCGTTAGCTCCTGCAGTACTTGAAAAAGAACTGCTACAAAAATTTCTTTTTGCATCATATTTCTCTTAATCAGTGTTTAAATGTGTGTGAAACTGTGAAGCTATATTACTAATGTCTTCCATTAGGTCAGTCTGCAGTTAGCCTGCCTACCACTAGATGTAAGCAGTGATACGCTGGCCTGCCACTTGCATTTACCCGCTACAATCAGTCACTCCCACTAATGCACAGTAGTGTTTATATAATTCATAAGCACCCTCACAAACGCACACACATTGCACTTACTCAGGCAGCCTTTTATTATTAAAGTCTTTCTTTAAGTTAAGACTACTGAACGTATGAAACTGTGTGTTGAGGAAATAAATGTTTTACATCTTTAGCAGATGCAAAAGATTCAGAGTGAGATAAAGAGATGACGGAAGCCATGAATAGTGCAATAGTCAAGAAGATGCACACTGATGATGAAGCGAATTTTGTATAAGTGATGATGATTTATCAAGAACACAACTGAGCTTCCATAATGAACACATGAAAAGCACTTTATTTCTGCATTCGTATAAAACTAAACAATAGAACTAAAGTGAGAACCGCAGTTAGAAGTAATTTCAACCTGAGAACAGTAGTGAAAGGAAAAGTAAAGACAATAAGGCTGCACTAAAGGAAGTGGGTCAGAATAAACAGAATAAATGGAGATGGTGCCTTCAACAAAGATACCAGCATAAATGATTCAAGTGTCTTTCAAGGCTTTGGTTTTCTGAAAAAAACAAAACAAAACAAAAAACACTGAAGGAAATTGCAGTGCCACATTTTCACCTTTTAAACAAAAGTGCCACCGATGGATAACTGAAAGAAGGGGAAAAACAGAATTGTTAAGAAGACTAATGAGCCCCTGGATGAGAAAATGCAAACACTGAAAAGGCAAAGCTAACTGCAAGTCAAAGAATTTGTTGTGAGCCATGAAATCTACATCAGGAATTAAAACGAGACTGCTGCCAGCTTCCAACTGTGGATGACAATACATTTAATTTGGGGAAGATAATTGTCTGTAATGATAAAAGCTCTCACGTGCTCACACTCATAGCCCCACTCAGTGTTGATTCTTAACACCGCATACTGGTGTGAGGTTTTATGAAGTTACATGAATCCCATTTTGCAGAAGGTCAGAGCGAACAATTCAAAGAAGAAAAGAAAAAAACGGAGAAAATAAAATTACTTGACGATGGGCTGAAACTAATCCAGACAACCTGAGGGTAATTAGGAACATCTTAACTCGTGAATGCTAATTCGAGGTCAGCGCACAGCACTGAGACAAGAGGTGTGATGAGACACTTCGAAAATGAGTGTGAACTGTTGCACCTGTATTAAAAAATGCAACTATGACGTCAATACATCTGTGAAACTATCAGGTCATCCGAGCTCAGCAGGAAGGAAATTTATTTTGCTGTGCAGGGTAAAGCTCCCAATCTTGGCATTTTCTTCACTGAGGAAGTGGAGAAACAATTCCACACAGCTGCGGAGAGAGGTGGCATGAATCATAAAGCTTTTTTTAATTTTAGGTTTTCTTGTTCAGTTGTTGTTTGGTTGGATTTAAGCACCAAAACTACTTGGTTAAGTCTAAGAAAAAAAACACAGTTTAAACATTATCCTTTAGCATCTCAGTAATTTAGGAACGTCTACACACTGGAAAATGATGCTTAGGACTTAGGTAAGTTTATTTTCCACAATTTTCCTTTCTCACAATCTCCACAGCGGGAAAAAATCCACTTCAGATGAGTTTCCACTGCCGGACATATGGTTCGTGTTTAAGGTTTAGTATCGGTAAGACCTTCCAGATGACATCACACAATGTTACTTTGCTAGCAGTTAAACGATCTGGACTATTAGCTGCACTAATTGGACTATAGTACAAAAAGAGATCACAGACAGCTCACAGGGTAAAAACTGGCTTGTGTGTGAACCTACTGTGCTAGACATTTGAGATCTCACATTCACTTCTGTCGGGTATGTGTAACAACAGTCAGTGATAATATGTAAAAGCTGTTCTGAGCTCTAATAATGCTGCAGGCCTAAGCAAGGAAACAGCTTCAACCTACACAGGCTCTTAAGCCGTGCTGACTGTAAATACACAGGCTTTTTGACCTGCCAGGATATTCAAATAAACACCAAAGTGCCAACCTATGTTGATAGTAGACAAGTCAAAGGGTCATCAGTCAACAGCACTTACCCTCTGATGACCAAAAAATTTATAGAAATTTCTCCAATACCTTTCACATATTTCACTCTGGCTCAAGGGGTCGACAGAAATTACCTTCCCTGAAAGGTAAGCTTCTATTTTGGATATAAGTTACAAGAACAGTGAAGGATTTGATTCAAGAGCCTAGAGTCAACTTAATTTTGAAATTTTTCATTCATGCTAAAGGAAGCATATGGTAAGGAAGTGTGGGAACACAATACATCACCACAACTACAGATGACAGCAAACTCAATAACATGTCAAAGCCAAGCTTAAAAATGTCTGGAGAAGCTCTTTACTGGAGAGATAATATGCTCAGAGAGAAGCAGGAGTCCTGTGGAAGTTAAAGGAACTACCGTGATACCAGGTCACACATAGTGCAAACTCCAGATGGGCAAGTGCACAAAATAGAAAATCAGCTTTGAAAATGAGTGGGCTACAGGAATTCCAGGATAAATCCAAGAACCCAAATCAAAACACAGTGATAAGAAAGAACAAAATCCAACCCACATCATGCAGAGAGACATGTGTGGTCCCCGGCTCAGGGAGAACCTCAAACCCTTAAGTGAGCAAACAGAGCTGCACTTTATTGTAAACAAACTTCAATCCACGGTTTGAGAGTAAGCCAGCTTTGCAACTTGATGCCTCCCAGACTGTTAACTTCAGAAAAGAGCTTCTTTTTACTTAAAATCCTTCTTTCTGATCAGAGTGCTAATTTTTGATTGTTTTTGTTGTTTTTCCAGATGCGGCAATGGTTTTTTTTTTTGGTTTTTTTTTGGCATTTGTTGCCCGAAGCACCAACAGCTGTGGCATTAATGGCCCCTGAAAAATAATTTGCATATTTATTATTTATTCATCGGCATTTTCCACTGATAATTGATCATGTGTTTGACTTAGCATTACCCAGTGTGTTCCAATCAAAATATAAAGGTGTTTCATTACAAAATCCTATTAAGCAGGCGTTGTCAATAACTGGCACTGTGGAGGCATAACCCAAGTGCGCTTGAGCATCCGTGAATGAACTGGTGGCCGGATATTCTGCTTCAGGAATTTCTTGTAGAGATCAGTTACAGCAAAGCAACCCCAGACCATCACACTACCACCACCATGTTTGACTGCTGGTATGATGCTCTTTTTATGAAATCACTCAGACCTCAGATCAGTCAACAGAATATTTTCCCAGGTTTTGGGGATTAATAAGATGTTTATTGACAAATATGAGATGTGTGTGCTCCTTTTTGTCAGCAGTGGTTTTCTCCTTGGAACTCTCCCGTGGATTTTATTTTTGCCCAGTCTCTTCCTTATTGTTAATTCATAAACATGTTATCTATCTTTCTTTCTTTTGTAAACCATGAATGACTACACATGTCTACACAAGGGGGCTGTTTTTATATTCGACAGCACGACAGGGTATATTAGCCTCATACAACAGGTAGTCAGGCTCCAGCAATGTAGCTACATTCACAAATAGGTGCTAAAACACGGCTGAAAATGCCGGCTATATTTTTAGTTGTTTGCTTTCTTTGATGAGAAGTAATCTTTCCTCCTCTTCCTCCTCCTCCTCCTCCTCACTGTCTTTCTTTTCTCTCCCTTCTCGTCTTCCGTGGTGCTGG